TCACGATCTTCCCGACATCTCTCATCAATTTACCCAAAGGTAACCCTCGCAAGTTCTAGTAAACATGAACGGTGACTCCCAGATTCGAAAGAATCAACGAAGTTCTTCGGCCTGGAAGGCTTGCCGTGGAACTTCGAAAGCTCAACGACAACAGCAGCGCGAGATCCTGAAGCTTGAAAGCAGCAGAAGGAGCGAGTGTGAGCCAGTGAGTGAGTGAGGTGAGGTGAAACAGTGAGTCGGTTGGCCGTTCCGTCCGTCCGTCCGTCAGTCACTTAGTCTCCCCCTCCGTCTGTCCATCCAGTCAGTCGGTCTCAGTCAGCAAGTTGTGGGTGGATGTGGGCGGACGGGGCGGGGCTGGGCTGGGGCGGTGTGTAGGTGAAGAACTTCGTTGCATCGCACTGGTGCAGAAAACAGACAGGCAGCTGCTTAGGTTTGGAGCAAGCATTCGCGTAGGTCAACTACCTTCCCGCTCACCCACCCACCCACCCCCCACCCCCACAACATTTTACAATGAGTTCTACCAGCAGCTGAGGCAGAACGGTGCACAGTGGAAAATGTAGACCACACTTAAAGCGGTGAATGCACAAGATTAAGAAGACTGCAAGAGGTGCAGTACGCACTATGTTGCGGTGCAATACATTGCGGTATCGAACAGGACTGTTCCCCCCAAACACGGGCTGCCACTCGCGAATCCACGCGGAGGACTCTTGAAAATGATGCCTTAGCCACGTGAAAATACCTCTTTCCCGAAACACTGGACCTCGCGAGGACAGATGTCGGAGCTGGTCCTAGGCAGCCAGGTCTTTTTGCTGTTGTGCTGTTCGCAGTTTAGACTCTGAACCGCAAAAAAAATGACAGCTAGTAACAGCTAGTAGCGAATAGGGTAGTCTTTGGGCCGCTAAAGACCAGGTCTTCTTGGGAGCCGCAGCAGCCAGATCTCCACCCTCTCCAGTCGTGTTTGTCTCGATGCTAAATCTTTCAATCGATGCGTGCTGCCTGAGCTACCTTTGCGTTGGCCTACCAGCATCGCATCGCAAAAGATCTCAGAAGAGTTACGATTCCTCACAAGCACTCGTCAAGCGGCCACCAGCCTTCAGTCGTTCTTCCGGGGAGACAAATAACTGATGGAAGTACTATGGATCGCATGATCTTTTGCAAACGGAACTTTCTGGAATTGTTGCACTCAAACATGAATGCCAGACCAACCCGAATGCCTAGCAACTCCACCATCCTGCCCGCATCTGGGGTTTGTCCTCGGGGCTGAGGACTGTGGTTTGGAAAGGCGTTTAGGAACATCTGAGTCCCAGGCAACATGGCAGGGAAGAGCAGCGATCGACAATCACGCCTGCCTTGATTTCACCTGGACGGGATGTTTCGAGGCTCTTCGGCTTGCTTTGGGAGGGTGCTCCCGAGTGTAGCAAGCAGTTTACATGTGCGATTTCTCGCACATACTGCTCAATCGGACCCATGCACCCCAAGAACCTTTCGCGAACCGTGCCAGTGCCTCCATGCAAAGCCAGTCGAATGAGAGCTTGACTTAAGACTCCGAAGACCTGACTCCCCTGCCTACACTCTTGACAATACTAAAGACTGTTGCTACGCAAACTACTTTGATCGTTCGGGTCTGAGACTGTCAACATCATTGCTGCCGTTACAGCTACCTAAGATCCTGGCAAAGAACATGACGGGTCGGAGACGAAATGGGCAAAGAGTTCGGGCACTTCGAACCTGCCAATCTCAACCCGTTGGCCTCCAGAAAGGTCGCACCCGCCACTTGAGCAATTTCAGCACCGTGTGTCGTGGTGTGCAGCTAGCCCTCAACTGACTCAACTCGACCTGTTGCAGTTAACCCGAAATGCGAACCCCACCGCTCTCTCAAAAAGTCGGCACGGCACCACGGCTCAGAGAGAGGTGGCAGATTGCACAGCACTCCCGCGCCTGGGATGGTTTCACGCCGCATGGACTAAAGAGTTCATACTCAATCCTGCCTACCCGCTTGTCGGCGGTGTGTTGGGGAAGGCCTTTTCTTCCGTTGATGAACGGTGAAGCTCATGTTGGAAGTGATAAACCAACGGGAATTACAAATGTCCCCCAACAACGGTGGACATCGACCGCATTCAATACTCAAGCTGGCTTGTCATGCCCACCGACATCATAGCCCACGATGGACTAAGTGCAATGCCAGCCAGGCGACAACTACATGCAGACTGAAACTAAACCTCGGGCCTCAGGCCCATCGGGAGCTAAAGTGTGCAGTATGCAGCATAACAGGTGTTGGGACCCAGCGCCATGGCCCTGCACAAACCGAGCTGCAGCAGCAGGTGGAACGGCAAGCTTTGCCTCTCAGCGACGATGAAAGGAGCTTAGGTTTCGGTCGGGCATCTCTCGAGGTGCGATGCACTGCACTTACATGGCACACGTTTCAGTAACCGAGTTGCAAAACCTCCACTCTGACTATCGAGTAAGCCACTACCAAGCTGATGCAAGTCTTGGGAGCATCCTGGCCTCCAAATCGTGGCCTTCTCTTGATCGGCCCAAGAACCTACAATGGTGCTCAGAACTCGCCGTCTGATCGGCACCCACGGAGCTTGCAGAAAATCTGATTGTACGGCTGCACGCGACGATGCTGACAAGGCTTACGCCTCGCGGCTTTGACCCGGTGACAACAAGCTTCACATGTGGGGCTGCAATTCACCTTGTGACTTTGGAATTAATCGGCCCGGCTGCCGACGCGGCTTGCAACTTCTGGAGGAGAACCGGCCAGAAGCCTCAGCCGTGGGCCCGGAAGAGTGGACATTCAGAAAGGGAGCAAACGAATAACAAGAAGGAGAACGCTCAGCGACCATGTAAGGAGGAGCCAGTTTTGGAAGGCAGAGGATTGAGATTGTCGATGCGCATCACCGCAACCATTGCCTGAAGCAGCCAATCCGCCTCAAACTCTCCATCGACAAACCCTCTGCAGCCACCAAAGAAGAAAGCGCTTGGACAGATTTTGGGGTCTGGAGGTTCTGGGTTAGAGGGCTTGTATTCACTGGCTCATCAAAGGTATTGAACGAGAATGTCGAAGACAGCGCATGGCTTCAATCACCAAAATGACCACCAAGCTTCTTGTCAGCCATCCCGGCTCGAACGGTTGCACCAAAATGCTCCGCACAAACAGCCTCGCACCAGGACCGAGACAGAGATTCCCAGACTGAACAACGTTTCAAAAAGACATCTGAGGACGAGCTGTTCAACTGTAGTACCCCAAAGCCCTCCAGAGCACAGCAATAATGCCACAGACTCAACATAGCCTCGTCAGTACTGGGATCGAAATATACAATTTGTCAATGCTGGAAAGGGTGGTTGCTGGAAAGTGTCTATTTGCATAGGGTTTTTGCGCATCAGGAAGCGAACAACACGGTATTTACATGTACTTACGGTGGTTTTGCTCAGAAGGCATTCTTTTCGGGAAGGTCCAATCCCATGGTTCTCACAGTCTTGTCTACACCTGTTGACTGCTGCTGCACGTTGTGTTTACTTATGTTTTTGCGCATCAAGAGCCGACAAGCAGGGTTTTTTCGGTGCGTCGGCTGGTTTTCAGAAGGGAATTTTGCCACCAAGTCATTTGAGCTCCGCTGCCCTTTTTTCATGTCCCGTGTCGGCATGTTGCTTTGACAATGTGTGGTCGGGGGAGGGTTATGTGCGGAACAAACAAACAGGGTATTGCACTCCGTGCAGACTTGGATTCAGCATAATTGCACCCAAATCTGAACCCCCTAAACCCTACACCCAAAACCCTACACCCTACTACTACTACTACTGCTACTACTACTACTACTACTACTACTACCACAACGAGTACTGCCGCCACCACCTGTACTTCTACGAGTACCACCACACGACCACCACCCCAGTACTAAGCCCTACTACTTCTGCGACTGCCACTACGACGATTGTTGCGACGATGCCGATGGCGACGACTGCACCCGAGACTGTCCAACTGAAGCCTCCTGGGCAAAGGCCGGTCATGCAGCTGCTTCACTTCTGCGAGCACCTGCGGATTGCTTTGCATGCCGATATGCGGAAACAGTAAAGATTCCGATTCGTTGTGCATCAGCTGTGCGAACTCGGAGGAAATTCGCGTCGTGCCTCGTGGTAGATGCCGGGCATAGTGCGCGTAGATGCCGCATCAAAGAGGCACCTGCTCGCAAGCTTGACACTTACCAGTGGGAACCACACTTGACGTCCTTCTTTATAGGGTCGACACCATTCCGTCCCGTGAATTTGGCGTGGGTAACCACGACACCCCTCACCGAAAAACGCAGCAGTGCCGTCTGGCCTCTTCGGAACAGGATGCTCAGATGGAAGGCGGCGAATGACTTTCTGCACAGTCGAGTTATGAGCTGAAGCATGCGGGGTTGTGTGTCCAAAGTAGCAAACAAAACAGTTGGTTGCATCAGGCCCTTCACCAACCCCGACAAGTCGATCTACGCGTGACTGCTACATTGAAACACATCATTGTCAAGGTAGTACTGAGAAATGCATATGTGAATGCGTGAATGTATTCCGATCGTCCGACTTGCATGCTTTATGCTGGACTGCATCCCAGCAAAGCACCCAAAACGAGGGATCCCCTCTCTCGCTGTAACATTCAAGCATATCGAAAAGCACGAAACCTTCTTCTTTTCCTGCAAAGGGCCCGATTCCTTCCTCAGGCCCCTCCCGATCTTGCTTAATGGAAGGCCTCCCGCCCAATGAACTTTACTGAGACGAGAAAACACGCACAAATTGAGCTTGGAGCTGCTTTATGTAACTGCTGTTGCATTGGGTGTCCATATAGACATTTTCGTGTCAGTTGTGTTCCCTGCTTACTTAATCCTACTTATATCCGGAGTGCCACGGTGTGCCTTCAAGGCGATACTTATATGTCTTGCACTAAGCAAGGTGTGAATCGCTGTTTTCTGACGTGGGAGTGACTGTGACACTCCTTCGGCTGACTCCGCAAGCGAGGAACACCATCAACTCGCTCGCCATGGCGTGTAGCCTTGATGCTTCGAAACTAATTGACGAATCCGCTCCACGGTGGCACTGGATGTTGTCACGTTCGTCACCAAGTGATCATAAACTCGGGGTGCAAACGTGTTTTCCAGTCTGTAGAGACCAGCACTCTCGGAACTTGAAAACTCGCCGACGACACAGTCAATTTTGATGGCAAGCTCCTCGTGAGGGATCCCCAGGCTATCTGAATACCTCGTGTTGGCCAAGAGAGCCCAGCCGCGGCCATCAGAACTTATGGGAGCAGCCACTTCACAGTCCATGTGCCACTCGGCGCAGCGTCTCAAAGCAACCCCAAGGCCTCCCCAGAGAACCTCCAAAACCTCAGGATTTCCAGCTGTTTCTGCTTCTCTCTCAAAGTCCAGCTTGGCCTCTGGACGCCGGAAAGCGCACAGGAACTCCTTATGAAGTAGCACGATGTCGGAGTTGGCCAGTCTGCTGATAGGATGGATATCCGCTGCTAGCTTCATGACAGGAGCAAGGCGGGTCTCGGCCAGGGCATTCTGCTCCATGCTGGGCGGAAGCGCCAAGCACCCGTCATGCTCCATCTGCTGCAACTCGAGACCCGAAAGGCGGAGGAACCGAAACAAAAAGGTGGCGTGCCAATGGGCCTGCAAGATTTGACACGTCAGTACAAGCACCAGCGAGCCCTCGTGCATCAGAGGCAACTGGAAAAGTTGACCTCCGTAAACTCCGATGTACACCTTCGCCGCCGAGAGAGACCTTGCAGGGACGCTGCCTATCATTTGCACATTGTACTTTAGGGCATAGGGCATAGGGCATAGAGGTGAAGGGCTGTAGGGGTCGAAGGAGCAACTGACGTCATCCGCTGGTACCTGACTCTGCTGGTCCAGCTCTTACCTGCAAAGTCAAATAGCGTAGCACCCACCAGCTTGGCCAACTCCTGCAAGCCACCCAGCAAGTCACACCATGACTACTCCTAACATGACAGCTAAGCGGTGATCTCATGTAGTCTCTTGTCGAAAGGCCTAAACCCAAGCTTTCAGCATCCTCTGCGCTTGCAAAGACCCGGCGTGATGCCCCGCGCCGCGCATCCAGCAGCACCTCAGGCAGCGGCACCGACGGGTCCACTAGCTCGCGAGCTTGAGCTGCCTGCGCCGTCAAATGGTAGTGTGCCCGGACTTGTCGAAAAAGTGTCTCGGGAGAGTAGTGTTGCCAGGGCTTTCCTGGCCTGCCTTGCAACAGCTCTTCGAAGCCTCCCGTCCGCTGACGTGGGTTGGCACTCAGAATCACCGCTTCAAAGCAATGAACCTCGTCTACGCCCATGAATATGGTGGGAGACTCAAAAACCGTTGACACGAAGTCTTCTTGAAACCGTTTAACACCTGCTGCACCCAGATTAGAGTGCAAGTTGGCAACTGTGCGCTGGACCTGCAGGTCCGAAATGTCTTGGTTGGCGACTCGTGCAACCACATCTATCAGCATATCATCAAGAAGGAAATGCCCAATGTTTGCACAATCGGGACAGCGCTGGCTTGGAGAATGGCCATCGTGGACAAACCTGGTGAGCCCCGACCAGTGCTCATCCGCCGTCTTCCAAACTACTGCAAACTCCTGCAGGGACTGTGCCGGCATAAATACTTGACAGTGAAGGAGCACCCGCCAAGTGGTCCAAGTCCTACATTGACATACCCAAGTCTCCAAAGACCACCCCATGAGTCCTAAACAGTCCTAAGTGCTCGCGAACACTGCGGCGGGAGAACGATCAGCACACCAGAACACCCCACCACACTGTAGCAGGCAGGAGCAAGGCGTCGGAAAGCGGAACACACGATTATAAAAATTCGAAAAAATCCGAGACCACTTGAACGGCGGGATTTGCAGACGACATGGCCATACCAAGAGTTTTTGAGTCTGTATTCGCGGAAATTGAGGACCTAAGTAGGCACGGGCACGATTCGGCACGATTTCTACTCAAAGCAACCAAAATGCGCGTGCAGCAGCGCTGGTTGATGAAGTTGGGAAGCGCCAAGGTATTTGATTTGACGACGTGCTTGCGAAATGCTGCGGATGTGGAGCTCATTTGGCGCTGTTGTTCACTCGACTTCATCTTTTTACTTTGTGTTGCTCAGGGGTGTCTTGGAGGCTTTACCCGAAGGAAGGAGAAGCTGCAAGAACGACAAGTGCCGCAGGGATCATTGCGCACGCCGACAAACAAGATCCGAGACACGAAGCTGCAAAGATGACAGAATGCAGCATCGACAGCAAGAATTCCTACCATAATGGCCATCATCGCAGGCTACGAAGATGTAAAAACATGTCAACAATGATTCGGCTGCATCGCTTGGTTCTATCATACAATACTATAAACTAGTGTCGCGACATCCAACACAATTGGTCAAAGCAACACACATGTCTCCTGACGGTGGCCATGGCTTTCACGACCCTCTCCATGACACGCTCAGTTTTGGTGCGAATTGGATGCTGCACTTTCGGAAATCGGATCATTTCTTCGGCAATTGTGCCAGCTCGCCTTGTTCCGAATCCGGCAAGGTATCGGACGGTGCTACTTGTAACAATGAACTGTCCACATCACGCAGGAGTCCCTATGCGCTTCAAGACGATAATCACTGAGTGTATCTTGCGCCATCACGAAGGACGTCATCTAACATTGGTCCAACATAAAGACGGAGGGGCCTTCGCAGTGACTTGCTAGAGCGGTTGCTGCGAGGAAGGCTCTGAACCGTTGAATTTTCTTAAGGGACGTTTGTGCACATGCACCACAGCCAGGCTCTCACTGCTGTCGTCCTGATGGTCTGACTGGTCATCACCAGCCTTGCATATCTGGTGTTTCTGCTGGCCCCTTCGCCTTTGCAAAAAAAGCTCGGTATGTAACAAACGAACAGGTAATAAGTCTCGTCAACGTTGATTTTGGTTTTTACCCCTTCCCCTCGCTCTGCTTCCCCCTCCCTCTCCCTTTTACCCGAGCAAACGAAAGATAAACATGTTGGCATAAGCACTTAAGTATATATGTATACATATTTTTTATATGTACAGAAAGATAAACATGCTTGAGAAGAGGGCTCGGAAGCTAGGCCACACGACTGCAACACTGCTACACTGCTGGCAGAAACTGTTTTGCGCAGAGGCTGCGCGTGGCTGGACGCAAGCACGTATGTAGCGCCATGACGCCGGAGCTTGCAAAATGAAAGCATTACTCTCCTTGACACTGGCCCACACAAAGATACACTGTTGGCGTAGTGTAGTGCCCTGACCGACCTCATTGCGCATCGGAGTGTGCCTGCGTCAGCAATAACTCGGAGACTACGAGCCGTTTCGATCTGTCCTGGTGGCAGCTTAGCTAATTACTGAGGGGTCAGCCGTGCGCCCGCAACGTTGATGCCACTCGGCTACGTAAGCACACAACGCAAGTTGCCATGTTGTTCAAACAGATGAGCAATTCTGGACCTTGAGGTGCAGGGGCCGGGCCCCCTTTGTACTGGTTCTAAAGCAATCATTTGCGTAGTGGCGCAGGGGAGCCCCCCTTTAACTATTGTGAACGGACCAGATAACCCAAGTCGTGCATGGTAAACGACAACCCCGGCAAGCTCAACAAGGCTAGCTTTCGTGATTCTAAATGCAGATCACGGCCCAACCACTGTATTCTAACAACCACGATATATGCAAGTGCCGATCAGCGGTGATGTGGAACATGCACGAAGTGAATGACATTTGCCAAATATTATGTGCCAAGTATGCCCGCAAGCGAGAGGTGTAGCACGGTCGTGCAAGATCTGTGGTTGTGAGTCGTGAGGAGTTGGAAGATACAGTCAAAGTTGCCACAAGGTTAGCAAGTTCATTTTCACTTTCGTGCCAAGAGCGGGTAGCTTCCCCTTTATCGCCAGACCGGTGAGGGGACCACCAAGCTGTGGTACGGTACGCCTCGAAAGGCCAGCATTGCCTGACTATCTTGGTGAGTCAGGAAAGCGGCACGGAGGGCTGCGCTACCCTACGGGGCGAAATCAAGAAAGCCTGTTTTGTTTTTCACGTCTGCAGGCGTCGTTCTTGAGCCATCAATTTAAATGACTTGAGCCAAGGCATTCACGTCCGGCTCGTCGGAGCAGGACGATGCCCTCACTCGTGCGGCCCGATCGCGGCGCCGAGTTTAAGATGGCCGAGCTTATGGTGTCATACTCGGAGCGGCGTGGCGATTTAGCGAACCCCTCCGCCCCTGTGACATGGGGGCGAACGAGCGTGTGCACCAGGTGCAAAAGGTCCTGCGGGCGGTGCTGCGCCAAGTGGCCGCCGTGGGAGACACGTGGAGCGACTGGCTGGTGGTGGCGATATGTCATTGACAACATGCCAGGTCGCCGCGGGCTTACTCCCCGTGACCTAGAGCGGGGCTGGTCCCTCGCTCTGCCCCTCGAGAAGGACGTCTTGAGAGCGGCTTTGGGATCCGAGCCGAATTTAAGCAGTTCTTGGAACTGTCTGCCGCGGACAAGAGCTCGGCTGCCCGGGCCAGGCCAACAGGCACAGGCGTACGGTCGACCTGAAACCAGGTGACCGGGCTCAGAGAAGGGGCCGTGTTCCTTAGAAACCAGGCCCGCGCACACCTAACGGAAGTCTCTGGTACTATGTGCGCGGAACGCCGTTCGTGCCGACCGTGCGGCCCATTGGGCGCACGGCCTTCCGCTTGCCAGCAGCCGTGAGGTGCGGCGGCCGTATCCAAGGACATCGGGCTGCGAATCAGCTAAACGGCAACATCACCAGGACGTGGGTCGGTGTGTTGTCGGCGGCTGTGCTTGCAGCGCGGTTCGTGGCAGTGGTCGAGGAGACAGAGTGCACGGTCCCAGGCCTCGCGGACCGTCCAGGTCGCGGGCCGGGCTACGGCAATCGGCACGCTCGCGGCCCGGCCTGGCGCACGGGCAGTGCTTAACAAGTTGACACGTGCACGTGAGCTCGCGTGGCTTCGCGGCATCATTGTGGGCCCTCCGGCCACGGCCGCGCAGCCACCCGCCATGGTGCGCTGGCACTGGTGTCCACGCCAAAACGGCGGCGGACTCCGTGCCGGCGGCACAAGGTGGCAGGCAGGAGGGACAAGACACCGGCCAGAAGAAGGGACCGGCACACCGGGGCCGTCCTTTTGGAGTGACGGACTGCCATTTCCTCGCAGGAAATGCTTACATGTCTGTCGTTGTCAAGTTATCGACCGGGCTCGCAAGACCGCCTTTACTTGCGGGCTTACAGCTTCGACTTCGAATTCGTGGGAGTCGCCGGTCCACTTGAGAGGGTCACCGGCCGAGGAGCAGCGTGCCGCTTGATTGCGGACGCTAACCAGTGCGGTAAGACGAAACTGCAATGGCAAGCCCTGAAGCTTGCGACCGCAGGTGTGCACATCCGCCTGGCCAGCGGCACTTCGGTGCACGCCACTATGCGCCACTTACGAAAGACCCAACTGCTGGCGGTAACTTTACATCACGCGACCGCAACGATGTGCACCTGGCTCAGGGGCACGACGGCTCCGTCCCCGAAGCGCAGCCCCTGCGAATCATAGGAAACGTAGTCATTCCTGGGCGGTCGGAGGTCTCCACGAACCTGACTCCGCCTAAGGGCGGGGGGTCGGCCTGGAGGAGAGCGGCGAAGTCGCTCAGTCGCTCACCACAAAGTGCATCCCGTCAATGTGCCAGCAAAGGAAGCCGTTAACCCTCTTGGTGCCGCTGCGACGCTCCTCCACCATGGTCGAGATGAGCCATCAGCGAGCCGGCCTCGTAGACACCGAGAACCTCCGCCCAGCTGGATCTCGAAGCCGGCGGCGGGGTCTCGGCAGGCTCCTGGCTGACGGGCTGATCGCAAATCCCGGTGGTCTCCGTCTCGGCGAGCGCCTTCTCGACGGGCTCCTCGGGCCGGGCGTTGGGAAAAGCGTGGTCGGGGAGGGTCAGGCGCAACCTAGGGACACTCGTTGGCGACGAAAGCTCGCCTCGCAAGGCGTCCATACTTTTTGGTGCGTGCAATAAGAGTCTGCTCAAGCTCCGAAAACGGGGCGTCGCTCCGCATAATTGGATCATCTCCTCGAGGTCCTGGACCTCGCCGACATTGCCTCCGACTGTACATAGCGTGAGCCGTAGCTGTAGAGTAGCCTTTAAGCTGGCACCAAAGACCGCTCATTCAGGAGCCTCACATCCAGGTGCGAAAACGCGAGCGTGGACGCTCAGGGTCTGGTTTAGGAGGGCTGCGTGTGGGTGTGTTCAGTAGTTTGGTCGTGTGTCAGGGCTCCGCCCTACCACTCGTGAACCACCCCGCCCTCCTGGCACGTTGATGTGCGTTATACCTGAGAGCCTCGGCTGAGGGGCGAGTGTGAACGTAGCAACAAGTCAGTGCTGCATGTGCTCTCTGTGTGTGCCAGCGTAGCTCTTGTCTTTGCATGCTGTTGTTAATTGGAGTAAGTCCAAACCGAAACATGTTGGCTCAAGTGCCTTTTCTACTACTAGGGGTGCCAAGTGCGCACGGTAGATTGCCAAACAGTTGGCTGTCCGTGATTGCAAGGGTTGCCTTCATGTCCGGTATAGCCGGCTTCACAAGATTATATTATACTATTGTATAATATATAATAGTATACTACATTATAGTATACATCGGGAGGATAAAAGTTTTGACCTACTGGATCTGTCTCGTCTTAAGACGTCTTGCGGAGCAGCCGAGTAGCGAAAAGTGCGATTTACGTGGCCTGGCCAGCGGAGTATTTTGTACCCTGTGTTGAAATTATACACTTTGATGTTCCGGAGGAGTAGTCACTTGGTCCTGTTAGTTAGGATTCTATGGGGGAGGAGTAGCCACTTGGTCCTGTTAGTTAGGATTCTATGGGGGAATGGAGGCCTGTGTTCGACGAAACCAGGAGTAGGTCAAACTTTCGTCCTACCGCAGCGTCAGTTTTTGTTGAATTTGTTCGGGGTCTTAGCCTTAGCTCTCACCAAGACTGCAAGGGAGGGGACTCTTGCCTCGACAAGGGAGGCTGCGCCGGGCCGATAGTTCGACCCACTAACTTAAACAGCGAAGTTGACCCATGCCCCCACCCCGCTTCCCCCTAGACTCCTGACACGAGCGAGCCTTGGGGCCTCCTCCGCAATAAACATGTAATATAATTCTAAAACGCCGTAGAAAGTACTCCGCTGGCCTGCGTGAGGAATTCGTTACTTTGAAGCACTCCGCTACTCCGGAAGAGTCTGTATAATGATGAAAGGTCCGGTAGCTCAAAGCTTTCGGCCCGGGGCATTCTGAATCGTTTCTTAGACGGGGATGTCTGTCTGGGGGACCTGAAGGAGATCATTAGGTGACACAGCAACAAGTTTGGCGAGATTTGCTGAACAGAAAGGTCCCAGTGAGGCATCGGGAGGATAAAAGTTTTGACCTACTGGATCTGTCTTGTCTTCAGACGTCTTGCGAGCAGCGGAGTAGCGAAAAGTGCGATTGACGTGGCCTGGCCAGCGGAGTAGTTGATACCCAGTGAAACAATTATACACTTTGACGGAGGAGTAGCCGCTTGGTCCTGGTTGTTACTTGTAGGATTCTATGGGGGAATGGGGGCCTGTGTTCGACGAAACCAGGCGTAGGTCAAACATTCGTTCTACCGCAGTATTATACCATATTATGTTTTATATTATCTTATACTGTATTCTATGAAGAAAAAGATTGTACATGCATATATACATATATACACGCACATATACGGACATGCTTCGTTCGCGCATTTCCGGATGTACATAACCAAGCATCGTCTCCTCGGCCGTTACATTCCTTGCCACGAAGCGGTGGTGCGGGTGGAAAAGTCCGATCTCTACGAGCTGTTGGAAGACAACTTCGATGCGCCGTCCCGTGAGGACCGCAGCTGGAACAAAGGGGCTGTGGAACTCCGTTGCGGATGTGCGATCTCGGAGGCACACACCTCTCAGCTGCACAGTGGATCTTTGAAGCTCCCCGGCACCTGGGAAGATGTGGCGAGCTTGGCTACTCGCTGGGACTGGAGGCACTGTCCGGACTTCAAGGTCAGAGAGGGTGCCAAGGGCATCACTGGAGAGACGTTCCAGCGTTTGCACCTCTTCCGGTAGCAGGACGGGTGGGACTTGACCGAGCAGCTGATTCCAAGTGTCGACCAGGGTGGTGAAATGCCCTTGCAGGAGAAGCTTCTGCTCTCGAAGCGCTTGAAGCTCCCGTTGCACTTGGCGCTCCTTTCTCCGAAGCTCCGTCTCCTTCTTCACCAATGCCGTGGAGGCCTCGATGAGCGCCTCCCTTGCATTGGAACTCTGCCAGTCCGTCAGGAACCAAGTCTGGATCTGCACGGCCATGCCTTGAATCAAGAGAACTGCGGATACCTTGGCGAATCCGACAATCTCGGCCTCAGGCGAGGAGATCTGAAGCATCTCGACGCAGCGAGGCTCCTGCGTCACCATGAGGCAGACCAGGTATGCCACAGCGGGAATATGTTCTTCCGAGCAGGTGCCTGGAACGCAAGCGTGGATTGTTGAACTCACGTTCCTCATTGCAGTCCATTCTGTGAACTTCGACTGGATGTCGCTTTGATAAAACTGCAGCGAAACTTCGAAAAGAGAAGACAGAAACTGGATGCATGCAGGCAAGCCAACACGCGGCCTCGTTGCCGAAGCAACCAGAATCTGGTCCGTGCAGTGATCACCGACAGCCACGCCAAGTGGCAACAGCAGTTGCAAAAAGCGCATGGACGGAGCTGTAGCGAAGGCTTGAGCACAACTAAGGGTCTTGTCAGGCGCTAAGTTGCCCTCGTTCTCATCTCCATGATCCTTTTGCTACAGCCAACATCAACGATGCGCAGCTTGCTGACACCCAAGCTCACGCACTGCGCGTAGCTAAACACTACCTCTCCCTGCGCAGCTTCGATCAATGTGGGCTTCGGGGAACGGCCTACACCAAGTTTCGAAGCGTATGAGTATAGCTACGGGTTTCAGGCGCACTCTGCGACCAGATGACAGACATTCTCTTCAACAGTCACAGACCGAAGTCCCCAGAACCCCAAACCAAAACTGCTCGAGTTTCCTGACCACCAGACATTGAAGCTTGAAATCCGGTGCTGTACCCAGGAGCCCAGCAACCCTGAAGCCCGGAAACCTCTGCCCAAGTCGATCCATCCGCGGATCATCCGGAATCTGCCTTGGATCTGTCGTGTTGTTCAATGTCAACACAAAGGCCTGGAACCTGCCCTAAGGCAATGTCGGACCCAAAGTGTGAGAGGACGAAATCTGCTTGCCAAGCGTCCTCCCTGGCAGTGGAAGCACAGCATCGGTAAGCACCTCCAGCAACGCACGTGGAACATTGCTACTATAGTTCATGAAGTTTGGGATGGCCTCTTGCAGCTGGTTTGTCAGAAGGTTTCGTGCCATCTGACCGGCTATGAAGGTGGGATGGAATCCAACATGTGGAGTTTACACGTGAGTCAAAAAAGCGCCTTTGCACCATGACACTTCTGCCAGAGTGTCAGATACTGCCGATTCCAAACCAGCGCCATTGAAGCTCCTGGAAGAAAGCAACCCGGGCCGTCGGACATCCAGGCACACACTACCAGCCCACTGTGCTCGCCCGAGTCTTTCATGCAATACGCCCTGTTCCGATATTCAACTGATCTATAAGCTACGCTCTCTCTTCCTGTAATGCCGCCTCCTCACCGGCCCACCATCGCAGATGCTGCCAGCACTCCGGCACGACAGAACCTCAAAAACTGAAAGGTGGAGCCTGCAACCCGACCGTCCCACAGTCCCAAGACCCCCAACTGACATCATGAAAGCAATTCCTAGAGCCAAATTGCCCTGGCCTGGGGGAAGTTAACGCGGTGCAAGCGAGCCCAGCGAGCCCGGCGGCTGGCAGCATTGCCCTTCTAACAGGGCAGGCGAAATGGCTTTGAACTGGGGAGAAGCCTGTGTCTATGGTGGGCTCTGCGGTTCGGGCTTTCCTTATGGAGGTCACGGGAAAAGACGGGGGATGGTAATGATGCGAAGTCTGCTGCCCCTGGATGTTTTACATTGATGGACACAATCAGCAACCTGCGGAAAATCAGCTACTGTGTTATGTCAAAAACGATTCAAGCGGTCGGCTTGCAGCGCATGGCCTACGAAGTGTGACATGGAAACGGATCTCGCTGCAACTGGCATTGTTGAAATCCCTTCCTCATGTGCACGAGCTGTGCAGGCAGTTGCAAGCATGCTGCGAGTGCGAAGAGTTCAACATCTTCCGTACGGGCCCAGATTCGAATCCTTGCACCATCAGAGACTCCTGCTTTCCGCTCGATGACTGAAGATTGAAATAAAGCAGCACTCCAAACTCGAAAACCGTTACGAACATGCCTGTGCCAAAAGGAAAGGCCCTGAAGCGCCTTCCATCGTACCCTCTGCACCTGCAAAGGAAGCTGCCAGTACCCAGATGAACTCCGTGAGGATAACACTGCCGTGTGCTCCTCCTCCAGGTACAGAGCTGCTGCAGAGCTTGCAAGTGTCTGTCTCCGACTTCGGGTCTCCGCATAGCTTGTTGCCCGCTGCACCAGAGCCTGCGTGAATTTACCATGCGCAGGCACAAGAGTCTGTGCGAAGGGTCTGCCACGAACACTTCAACTTAAACAGTTGATGGAGGGTTCAGCTGGGGCTTCATACATTCTGCAACATGAATACTCGTAGGCGTAGCCACTAGCTTGCTTGCCATCTCTACACTTGCATTTTTGTGTTCCTTACCTGCGGATCAAATCAGGGAACGACCAAATATCGGTGTCCAATGCAAGCCCCTTCGTCGGGCTGGCACTCGTGGCTGGCCCCCCGGCTGTTAAATCGCAGAGGAATTCAGCCGAGCACAAGCCTAAATTTCAACAAAGCCTTTCCAAACACCGACCCCAGTTGCATTGGTTGTCCAAATTCGATTCTGAAGCTGAATTTCGATGCAATCTTTAATCAAAAGAAATTTGCGGAAACGTTGAACTCCTTTCTCCTCTTGGCTGACCTGTCCTGTTTTCGGCGTTGCAATCTTAAGTAGTTTCGGAGTCTCTGCAAAGTCTGTACTCTATGGTTTTCGGGTCATGGACCTCAGACTAAGGCTTGGGTGCGTTTCTTCGTAAAGAAGTCAGTTCGGAGCAAACCTGCAACGTGTGAAGCCTGTGAAGATCTCGGGTCTGGCGTGCATTAACTGTGACGCCACTGGTAACAATGGAAGGCGGAACCATTGACCATTATTGAATGTTCGTGCCGGTCGACGAACTGACCAGCTACTGATGCACTACCCGTTGTTTCATATGGTCCGCAAAAAGGACATTCAAAATTTGCGACAACAAAGTCCAAACAATAGCAGTGCAACCAACATGGAAACATCGAGCTGATGATGGTGGACCTGCATGTGGCTAGCACAACAAGGCATAGCAACACTATTCCACTGGAACATGAAACGTACTTCCTCGTTTGCTTCAACCTTCGAGTCTGAAGCCCCCAACTACGGCTGAACCACCAAAGCGTCGTACGCGTCAACGAAATGGATGGATGCTGATGAATGAGGGACCAGTGACATCTGGTCCGTAGTGGTGACATTTATATTTCACCACGACTCAAGAAAACGGTCGATGGGACGACAACATGGAAACACTACTTTGATGATGATGTTGATCATGATCATGATGATGATGGTGATAATGATGATGATGCTGGTCACCATGACCATGATCATGAACATGTTAAGTACTCACTCACAGCTGCAGTGGCCGCGCGTCTCACTTTTTCGCCGCTCAGCCACATCCAAGGTTGGAGACCGGTCTTGACCGGTAGGCTTCTGACAGAAAGAGAGCCTTCGAGACAGCCTTCGAAAGAGAGCAGAAAGCTCGAAAGTCGTAGCTCTGCACTTTCCCGCACGAAGAAGCCGCGAAGGTAAAAGGGCTCGAGGCCGGAGTTCTCGCAGGCGAAGGAGTCGTGCTGCAGGCTGTCGTCGAAGAAGTCAAAGAAGCCAAGTAAAACTCCACCACTTAGCCGCGGGCCGTTTCGGGGCAACGAAAGGCGCACGCGTTAAAGCCCATGCGAGGGTCCCCGGCAGCGAAGAGAAAGTCTGGCTAGTAGGTGTGGTAGTAGAGCGGCAGCTGCTCGAATAGAGCAGCGACTTTCCTGAGAGAGCTGGGAGAGCACGCTTTCGGCAGCAAGCTCTTGCAGATAGTGCTGGAGCGTGTGCACATGCTGTAGCCGCATTTTCCAAAGCAGATCGGTGACGGAGAGCCCAGCTTGATAAGCCTGAATGGCACCGCCGCCCCGGATCCCAGCAGGAGTCAAGTTGAGCTCCGGGCTGACATGCAGATGCGAAAGCAAGGCACCCCACCGTCTCCTGAAGCTCTGAGACGAAAGCGGATACAGCTTTTCTGTAGGAGAGAGCTCGGCAAACACTGCCGTAGCTGCTGCCGAAAGTTCTCTGCCCTTGACAGTAGCGTGCTGCTTGCGGCCGCCACCTCTGCGTTTTGTCTTCGGTGCACCTATGCGGATGAAAAGCTGCTCACAGTTGTCAGACATAAGGTCCACTGGCAGCACCAAGTCAAGGCGATAAGCGTTGAGCATTTCTGCAATCATGATCCCTTCGAACGCAAGAAGAAGCACTAAAGCGAACCTGGGCCACTCCCAGGCCAATGCCAGAGCGACCATAGCTCTGCACAAAGCCGCGGGAAGAGGCTTTCGATGTTCCAAAGGCTCTAATTGCTCCCATCTGGTCACAGCATCCCAGCAGATGCGCCCGTGCATCCGAAAATCAGGAAACTTTCGCTGAGCAAAGGCAAGGAGGTGCCGAAAGTAACTCAACGAAGAGCCTATTTGAAAGAGCTCGTCTCCGTACTCTCGCAGCAGCGGCGCCACAGTAGCCGACACACTCGTGAGGTGCTCTGCCGTCTCAAGGCTACAGTCCACATCAACCCAGGCCACAAACTCTGACCACAGTCGCTCTTCAAGCGCTTGCGTCTGCGGTTCAACAAGAGCCACTTGGCCTAGGCTTTGCCCCGCCCGTCGTGTAGCCCTAGTTTCGGCAGTCGGTCTCCGAGGTCCTGGGTGGCTAGCTTCGCCAACACGAAGTCCAAGTGACCTTGAACAGCTGCAGGCGTCAAGCCGCTTGAAGTCAGGTCTGTCTCCCAGTGCACCGGCTACAAACATAGCCAGTACCAAACTCAAGCCTTTAGGGAAGTTTTCCGCTAACTTGGTCCAGGACAACCGGCCGTGTGGAGAGCGCTCTCGAAGTCGGTGGTGTACGGAGCAGCCCGGACAAGTAGTTTCTTGCCCGGCAAGGTGAGTCGACGTCAACACTCGAGTTCTCTTCTTCCAGGGCGCCCCAAAAGCGCAGAAGTCGACTTTCCAGAAACCTACCCCTGGACAAGCTTGAAGTTGCCGGACCGGCTCGAGCTGCCACGCTTTCGACCCCTGAGGGTTCTCAAGCCAAAAGGGCACGGAGTTTTTGTAGCACCACCAGCACAACTCAAGGAGAAACTCGACGAGTTTGTTCTCTCTAGTGACTCTAGCGCTCTGCGCAGGACCCAGCCTCGGTGCTCCTAAGGGGTGCCCAGCGGTCCTGCAACCTGACGACGAAGCCAAAGAAAAACTCCCGCCGCTTCCAGGTGAAGCGCTCAGTGCAGCAACTCGCACACTCTGCAAAATGCCACGAATCTCGTTCTGGACCTCGCCAATCACAAGGTCTTGAGCCTTGTTGTGCGCAACATCAGAAACACAAGACCCACCTCCCAGTAAGTCTTGCTAACTCTCTCGCATAGCCCATGTTTCCAGAGCACAAGTCGATGCACCCTGGAAGCTCTTTGCACTGCTGCTTGTCCACACCTTTGGGCCAGACAAACGTACCCGTCGAGGCGAAAGGAGAAAGGCTGCTCTCCACGACGGTACTCGAAGGAAACGGGAAAACTGAAGACCCGGAAGCAACACCTGCATCTTCGCCAAGCTGCTTGCCCTCCTGCAAAAGTTCGCGAAGCTTCTTGAACTTGCGGAGGTGGCCAAACCTGAGTTGCACTGTCACTTCGCTTGCACACGTTTTTCGAAGCTCGTCTAGACTTGGAAGACCAGACAGTGAGAAAGGATCCGCCGATCTGGCCTCCAGCCATCTGTCCATCTCCTCAAACTTGCCCTCACAGGCCAAATGCCACCACGATGGCAAATCCTCAGTGGGTTCAGGCACTTCACGGTCTCTGGTGGGAGCGTCAGAGGGATTGATGGCTGTCGGGTAGTACATGTAATGCGGCTGGAGACCTTTCCCGATGTAATATGGCAGCGATTTTTGAAGTTCACGATTGAGAGAAGCAGAAGATGAGCGACCTTTCAGAAGGGCTCCTAGTGCCACTTGAGAGTCCCCGCCAATCAGCATGCGACTCGACTTCCCGGCCTGCATCCCACATCTCTCGGCTTTCAAGAAACTCCGTAGCTCACCTATGTTTATGTGTCGCCGCCTCTTTGATGCTCGCTTCCAACGCACTCTAAACTTCAGAGCAGTTGCCAGCAAACTCCACAACGGGTGAATCCTGAAACTGTCCTCGGCGCCGCCCGGGAGTTCCTCGTTGGGATCCAGGACGCCATGTCCTCGAGCTCGGGCTTTGAAAGGGCTGAGAAGTCGCGTCCAAACTCCCTTTGACAAACACTGCCGCCCTAGCTCTCGTGCCAAACGAACAGGAACGCGACTCGAACACACCGCATCGCCCCAGTCCGAAGCATCCACAGCGAACACCTCGGTGCAAAAATCCGCTCTCATATCCGTGGCTGCTGTGGGGATTAAGAGGGAGATCAGAAGTAGTTCTTCACGAAGTTTTGTGCCGATCACAACAATCACAGCCTGCTGGGGCTTCCCCTTCATCACCTCGAAAATCTATGAGACTCATGAGCCGTCGCCTGAAAGTGAACAAGGCAATGACTCCAGCAGCAATGATTTCTAGCAGGCTCACACTGGCGACACCGAGCTGCAGGATTAAGCTGATGAGCTTTAGCAAAGGTGCAGCCCGCTTCAATGATGCGCGTACACACCCTCGCCGTCCGTCTACCTGAGCTCCCCAACAGTCGGCTTCAGAATCAGGTGAACCTCTTCATACACACCCTGCACCTTGTCAGCTAAGATCGCCCCGGCGGTAGCCGACACCACATTTCCGTGATCAAACTTCTGAAGCTTGCCTTTGCTCAGGGACACAAGGTCATCAATCACGATCCCACTGAAGGTTGGCTTCCGAGGTATAGGCAAAAACATCGCAAGTAAGCTGCTCTCGTCGATGATTTCGTTTTGGGGACACAATCCCAAATGGCACGACTGAGCTAACTCCACAGCTTGAGTGTCGCCCATAGCGAGGCAGTTCAGACAGACATACAGCTCGCTCTCTTTGTGCATCCAAGCCTCAAAACAGTTGAGCCCTTGGACTTCACCCGGTCGCACGATGCCCACGAAGCAATTCCTCCTAGCACGCTCGGGAGATACCCGGAACAGATGATAGAAGTCGCGAATATGAATATCATTTGTTGAGGCGTACAGGCTTTCATCAGGGAGCAGGAGGATTTTTGTGATGAGCTCTCCACTGCCCAAAGTCCTGATGAAACGTCCGGGTGGCTCTTCCAACATGTTATGTGGTCTGCTATCCAGAATAAGCCTGTCAAGCTCGAGAGACTTCAACACTGCGAAGACACCCGCCCCGAACTGAGGCCTGACTTGATCACGACGAAACAATCTGATTCTGTTGCTTTTGTCCAGCAAAATGAAGAGCTTTAAGCGCTCATGCCGATTGCAATGGACACGCGCTCGGGGAATCTTTCCCTCGAACTCGGAAGGATGCAATGAAGTCGAGAATGGTCTGCTGTAGATCTGCTGGGGGGTCTCATCGAGATAAGCCCTGGGATCAAAATCGGCGGTTCTCCTAAATTGCAACCTGTCCGCTTCGATCTCCTTGAATGTTCCAGCGTGGTGTGTTTTCATCAACCCGACTGGGCTACTTTCGGCTCGCTTTCGGAGCTCAGCGCTTGCTTGCGGAGAAAAAGTGCGAAGCTCAGCCACGGCCTTTTCTAGGTCCTCGAGCTTCCCAGCGGTGCGCCCCAAGTCCTCCGGATCGAGGATGCCCAGCCCAAACCAGGCATCGAGGAAACTCTCAATGCGTCGAACTTGTTCCCATTGCCCTGCTTGTAGCTCACGGCCGGCAAGGCAAGCGTCAGGTGCTCGGCAAGGCCGCCCCAAGTCCAAAAAGTTGAGGACAATGACGATGGCATCGACGACGAACTTCTTAAGCTCGCCCTCGTCCACATCACCAGGCCGTAGTCGAAGCACCTCGCCATAGGGGACGGGCATAGGCCAACTTTGGCCTGGCACCGAATGGCAAAAGGCGCCGCAGTGATACTGCGAGCAGGCTGTACGTAAGCAGCTCCTGGAGAAAGTGGCTAGGTCGCTGCTCCCACAAAAGAGCTCGGCAACCACTGTACGAAAAACTGACAAAGGATTAACTGAGTAACAGCTTCCGCCCCAGTGCCAGGAACGTGCCGAAGAGGGGGTACATCAGCGTGCTCGTCAGCAGGTCGGCCTGCATCCAGCTTCCCGGCATACTCCTTTCCCACGGCTCCCCCTGAAGCAGAAGTTGTAGATCGGGGCCCAACAAAAGACGGCAACGGAGAAGAATCAAAAGGGGCCACATCCTCCGCGCTTTTCGTGCTACTCACTGCTTTGCCCCGTCCTGGGAGCCACTGCCTTCTCGGCCTTTGCCCCCTCTGCCGCGGCCTCCGCCTTTCGGCGGTGCATCGTCCTGGTTCTGCTGCTGGTCCTTGTCCTTGATGGCGTTGTCCTTCCTCCCGGTCTGGAGCTTCTTCTTCATGTCGCTGTACAGGTCTCGCTCGCGCAGCACGCCCAAGAAGATGTCGGCCCACCTCACATCGTAGAGAGCAGACACCTGGCTTTCGGTTGCGGTGGGCGCAGTGTGGCGGGCGAAATCCTGATAAGTCCGCGGCCGCTGTCATCAACGCGGCTCGTGCTCTCGCCCGCTCGTGATTGCCCTGCCGCAGGTCGTCCCAGACTCCCGCCATACACCAACTCCACCGAACATGGCTCTGCAAGTTCTGCAGCCTCGACCTCATAGCTAACCACCCCCTCGCCGTGAAGCCTGCATCTGCCGGATGAGGTACTCCTGGTCGAGGTGGGCTCACCTGGAAGTCGTTCTGCAGCTGCTTTTCCAAAGCCTCGTAGATCGCCCGAGGGTTTTCCTCGTAGAGCGTTGCCGCAAGGCGGCTGCATTCTTTCTCCCGGAACCTATGGCCTGACTCTCTCCCGATCCACTTGCGGCTCCTGAATCCAGAATGCTCTCTAACTCGCTTTTGGGTCGGGACGACTGCGCCAAGCTGCTGACTATCTTGGTGAGCTGGACCACGGCTGCCTCGACATGGGACCCATCGCCAGCATCGCCCAAAGGAGGTGCTTGTTCCAAGGCTTCTTCCTCCCCGTCGATCTCGTTGAGCTCCCCTTCCCACAGAGAGCGTCCCGGTTGCAGCGCAGACCCAGGCTCGTCGAGCTTCCGATTCCGCTTTGTGCCCAGCAACTTGCCCATCTCCTCCAGGGACTCCTCGTCGACTCCAGCCGCCCGGGCGGCGGCCACGGTCCCCGGACCCAGACCTGGAATGATTCCTCGTCTTGGCATTGGCGCGACCTTCGGCTTCGCCTTCCTCAGATGCTGCTCCACAACCTGCTCCTTCCCGAGGTCCTGAATCAAGCCCTTCAGCTCTAAGAGGCCCGCCTCGACCGCTCACATCCTCTTGAAGATGCCGTCGCCGCCACCGCCGGACTCCGCACTGGTGAAGGCAAACTGGTCGTCCGCCACTTTCACAAGGGCTTCCGCACAAGGGAGAACTCGGCCGAACCCAATTGAAGGAGCCGCTGCGTCGCCCTCGCCCCCGAAGTCGATGAGCCCTTCCACTTCCATACTCAGCACCCCGACCCACAGCTTCAAGGTGAACTCGGGCAGAGGTTCGCTCATACTCTGTGGGAGGGCCCCCACAACCTCTTCACCCAGAGCCAGTGCCTGGGAGCATCCGTTTCACAACCGTTCTGTGCCAGGCTTGTTGGGGCACTGCCACAATGAATGAGCCTGCCACCCAGCACGGCAATGCAAACGATGGCTGATGTGGTCCCCGCGGCGGCGCATGGAACCACACCAATCTGATAATCCAATTCAGTCCGGCCTGATTTGAACACGAACCGATCCCGGACCCCGACCGGCTCGCCCTCCTGATCACTGACCTCACTCATGGCTCGATATGGCTAGGCCACTCAAGCCCAGCCTCACTCACAGCAACGACCGCCTCTCTCTGCGAAGCCAGCCCAATGAACACAGATGCTCCGAGCCGGCCCTCAGTCCTGCCCTGATGCTCAACGAAAGGGCAAATGCCTCGCCAGCTCCGAAACACCCGGGCCGGCCTAACGTAGTCCTTCCCGTCCTTGTCCCGGGCAAGGATATAGATGTTGTTTTTCAGGGCCACCTTGGATCGCCCCGAAGTGATGGTCCTGCCGTCCAGCCCCGCTCGCAGGAACTGGCCGACTTCCTTAGCATTCCCCACTGGCGGAGCTGACAGCCTCGGCCTCAGCACGGTTCTCGACCAATTGGGGAGGAGCCTGCACACTCCTGACGGCCTCCTCGGGTTTAACCACCTCAAAGGAAGTGAGGTACTGGAGCTCGTTCAGAGCCTCGCCCTGCCGTGCCACAACAGCAGAAAGCCTTGCAACCTCAGCCCTCAGCGCCGCTAACTCAGCACGGAGCTCAGCGACTTCAAAACTCATGCACACGGTAAAGCGGGAAGGGAACAGATGACCGACTCAGCCCGGCCCACCACCTGTAGGTGACTTGTCGCCACCACAGCCGCAGCCCGTAAAGGATGTCAATGAGAGGGCCTAGCGCTAGCCCGCAGAGCAGTCCCAGCCAGAACGATTTGCTGTCAGGCAGCTCTAGCAGTTCAAAGCCAGCAGCAGGCAGCGGGCACGATGGCTCGATGGGAGCTCCTAAATTTAGGGGCACAGCAGGGGCCACAGCCGGGCTTTGCAAAGCCTGCACAAGAGCCCCCAGAATCAAACCTGAGAGGCTACCGGTCGAAGCAGCAGCAACGACCTCTCGCATGGGCTGTCTTGACCCACAAGCTGGCAGCGTTCGTTTTCGCACTGAACATGAAAGTACATGATGGCGCTGGTGATAATGATGATGATGATGATGACGATGACTGACGATGACGACGATAACAATGACGATTGAGATCGCCGAGATCCCAGGCAGCTCGCGGACTCTCCTTTTTCCATCAGTCTGCACGACGGAGTCACGGGTGACTTAGGGGACCTTTGGCCGCAATGTGACACAACATCGTTCAAGCATGTGATTTCTTTAAACTACTCGGGAAAGTGCTCGCAACTATTGGCAAGACCTTTGGTTGATTTCGCACATCCCGGAAACAACATGCTTGAACATCTCTGGCAATCACGTTTTTGACGTGATCGCAGCCACTTCTTCCTTTTCAACCAAAATAAACCGACCTTCGCACATAACCCTTTTAAAGAGGTTGAGAGGGGCACCACGCTTAGTCAAGACGTCCACGATCATCTGCTTTGTGGCCATCCATCTGAGGGACACGTTGTACTTGGCGATGTCCTCATTCACCAACATCATCTCGATCGCCACTCGCATGTCCTTGACGGACAGACATGGCCCTCCCACGTGGTCGTAAACAGGCTTGCAATCGATGACTGCTGTGATCGGTATCTTGTTGCTCCACTGGAAATCTGAACGCAGCTCATAGTCAGAGTGAAGAGCCTCGCACCACATCGACCTCATCCAGCGTACCTCTGCCAGCCCACGTGAAAGCGACAGCAGTTCTGCTCCCAAGGTAGAGTGAGTTTGGCGACTTTGCTTGTAGCTCTTCCATCTGAGCACTGTTTAAATGCCCCATTCACCTTTCGGCAACTTTTCGTCACACGCAGCGATCATGTAGCCGGCCTGGCTACAACATCCCATCGCATTTGCCCATGAAGCATCCGATAACATGGTGAACTGAACATGGCTAGCAGGTATGTGGCGAATCCACACAGTCCACACAAGAGCAGAACTGTTGTCATGGACCTGACTCACAAGTTTATTCATGTCAATCAAGTCAGACACAGTGGCATCACACACACGCTGCTGCAACAGAGAGCACCACGCAGCTAAGTCGGGACGGCTTCCGGACACCAGCCAGTTGACTCCTCCCGGAATTCCTCTCATTTGTGTTCGCTCCTCCTCCTCCTCCTCCTCCTCCTCCTCCTCCTCCTTGATTTTGGCGCCTTTATCCCTTCTCCTGAGCCTTGAGAGATCCATTCCTTTGAACTGTTTGGCATACTCGGTCTGTTGGATTTTGATGCTGCCATCAACCTGTAGCTCAAGCACTTTACCTAGAAACTCACCTTTGCCAACCTTCCAGTGCTTAAACGGACACATCTCCCGAAGCGGCTTAAGAACATGTTGCTCAAATTCAACACTTCCACCGGCACACAAGTCATCGACATGCAGAGCAATTGTTCCTGCAACCCGACCTCTGTGGTAGTAGTAGAAGAGACACGGATCAAACCTCGACACTCTCATGCCCAAGGACTCAAGCTTTCCTTTGAAACACTGCCACCAAGCCTTTGGAGCGTCAGCTAATCCGTATACGGTCTTCACAGCTTCCACTAAGCTGCCTTCAGGGATTCCTGGTACACCTCCAGGAGGAAGTTCAATAAACAACCGACCACGCTTTGGATCAAGTGCATCACCTCTCAAGAAAGCACCCTCCACGTCAGCTATGCTTAATGTCCACTTATGCGAAGCAATCAGTTGCATGGCAATCGCAAATCCTTCAGCTGACAATGTTGGCTCACTGGTATCCAGATCCATCAGATCCGGATCAAGATAGCCCCGAATGCACCATCTCGCCTTCAGATCACACGTGGCAGGACTTGATTGAGGTTCCGCCTCAGTCACTACAAAGCGCGATTTCAGGATTCTCCTCTTATCAACTTGTTGACGAAGCTTCTGAGCTTCCTTGCCTTCATGAACCCTGATCGCTCCACTGTCCACAAGCTTTTTCCACACCTTCAACTTTGCCTTATCTCTGACCTTCTCTCAACAGCAACATTCTTTTCACACACACCTCCTTGCGACCCTTCTTAGCCTGGACTTCATGGCACTCCTGTTCCTGCGGACTCCTCCGTCTTTCAAGTCAAACTCCGTACGACCAGTCCACCAAACGCCACGACCGAACAATCTCCGATCGTCTTTATGATGACGATTGTACTCCTTCACCTGTTTGTTTCCCATTCGATCAAATCCGACAACTCGACACGTCGACGCAACACTTTCAACGCTCACTGGTAGCTTGCACGACTCGGGAAAGTACAACTCGTCACGCTCAAGCACATGCACACGCACAAGCTTCCGGCGACCATGATCAACCAAGCAACGGTCACACGCGGAGACATGTACCTCCAACCCTTCATCAAGCTCATCACTCTCAGGCACAGGAATAGCTGACGCATCCACCTCAGTGGACGACCTAGCTCCTGTAACCCTCCCTGAGTCAAGCAACTCCAAGTTTGTTCGCATCATCTGTGACAAGGGTGTCACCGTAGGCAGTTCATCGCCCATTCTGGCGCGTTTTGTAGGAGACTCATCTCCTAGGTTCTCCGTTGGCGCGCGCACCTCACCGCGCCTATCAACTGGCATGTCATCATTTGGCCCTTGTCCATCATCATCTTCGTCAGCTGGACTTAACTCAGCCGATTCTTGTGGAGGATGCTCACCTGCCTCCTGAGGTAACTCCTCAGGGACACCATCCGTTGCCTCCGGAGGCCTTTCAAGTGCACTCAAGTCATGATAGGTTCCCGCGCCTCTCGCACTCACATTGTCTCGTACATGGATCATGTCTGCTGGCAACAGTCTCACTGTTGCTTCCTGATCAGGAGATAAGGCACGCAACTGCTCAGGACAACACCTGTAGACCTTGGTACCTTTAGCAACCCACAGCTTTGAGCCACCACTTTTGCCAATGACAACACCAGGGCCATGCCAATGATGCCTATTCTCAAAGCGTGGAGTGGAGTGGAGGGACGACCGAGACCCGAAGGCCTGGCCTGTTAGTTAGCAGTGGCATCACCTCCGGCCCGAAGGCTTAAGGATCAAACCACAACGAAAACCGTGAAAAAACATAGGGTCTTAGGGCAGGCGAACCGGGTGGCCAACCGCGCACCCCAGGCGCAAACCGGATCCATCCCGACTCAAGTCTCCATCAGCTCATTGCAGCTCGCGTAACCGTGCACTCCAGGCACGAATCGGGATCCATCCCGACAGAGCTTCCATCAGCTCATTGTCACTTGCGTAACCGCGCACTCCAGGCGCGAACCGGGTCCATCCCGCCAGGGCTATCAGCTCATTGCCGATTGCGTAACCGCGCACACCAGGCGCGAACCGGGATCCATCCCGACAGAGCTTCCATCAGCTCATAGCCGCTTGCGTAACTGCGCACTCCAGGCGAGAACCGCGATCAAGCCGAACTGCTGTACCATCGACACTTGCGTAACCGCTCACTCCCCGCGTGAAACAGGATCCACTGGTAGCTGTTCCATCAGATCATGTCAAGTGTAGAAGCGCGATCACCAGGTTCGAACCGGAAACCCTCCCGCAAGAAACACGTCAGCCTCCAGCCACGAAGAGACCCAAAATGCCGGCACTGTCGCTCTACTGTGACCCCCACGCCTGCTTGCTGGGTGCTCTTCGGCCTGGAAACAATCCTAGGCCTTAGTGAAGCCCCTGGGGTCCCAGCAAGCATGCCGGCGAAAGGGTTAACAACCACAGCAGGCCCAGGGGTATTCTCAAAGCGATTGCGCCGCCAAAAGTAGACAAGCTGCCCTCCTGCGAACGGTCCTCGCTCAGGTCTCGACCTGTGCTCCATGGCCTTCCGAATCCGGGCCTCTCCATCTGCTTCTAAAGAAGGCCTTCCTTGCTGCCGTTCTCAGTGCCATCCTTCGCTCAAACACCGACTCGACCTGCACCAACGACGAATTGATAACAGGGTCCTGATCACTACAGATCAACCCTGGCACTCTCACGTCACGGCCAAAAACACGTTGGTTCGGACTAAACCCGTCCTTGCGTGTCATGCTGTTCACGGCATTATTGATTTGATCTATGAGTTCTTGAACCTCCTGTTTGTTGCGGGGCCTGGTTTCCACCTGCGCTTTAGAAGACGCAACCTTCCACACATCGCCTCTCTCTTCAACAAGACCATTCTGCCACGGCGAATACGCTGCCGACGTGTCACCATATGTTCCGTCAAGGGTAAGTCCATGTTCAAACTCACCCTCAAACTCTTTTCCCCCATCACTAAACAGGCGAACAGGCGCTCCAGCCCAACATTTCCAGTTCTTACGGTAGGCGTTACGAACAGCCTTAGCCTGCATGCCTTTCCACAACGGCACACACATCTGAAAACCCGTAGCCTCGTCACACATGTTCAGAAAGTGAACCTTCTGATCTCGAACCTCAAGCTCAAACGTGTCCACGCACAACTGCTGATTGAACTCCGTAGCCCTACGCAGCTTCGTGACGTTATGGGACTTGGGACGTGAAAGCTCAGCACATGTCTCACACACAAGACCTCTCGCAAGCTTCAGCACTCTCTCACTAGCATGAGCAGCTTTAAGAAGCATGTTGAGTCTGGCAGGAGATGGGTGGCCTAAGTTTTCATGGCATCGCCTGAGGATAGTCATGGGTGGTTTCCCTTGGAGTTCGGATCCACCGACTTCCCTTTGATGAACTGCCTGACCCATGCCGTGTACTTCTTGTCGGTCAGGTAGGCGGTTTTGAAGTTCACCAGTTGGCCGGCTTTCTGGAACTTGCCCACGTTGAAGATGACCTTGCCCAGCATGCCAATCCCGGGTACGTCGGCGACGGGCGCGTCGTCACTGTGATCTGGTGCCTCGTCGAGGATCTTCGCACTCAGGTCGCTCAGTTCTCCCGCCGTCTCTTGTGTCGTGACTTCGTTCATGAGGTCGGTGATGAGCTGGGTCCTCACATAGCTCTCCATTGGAGCATCTGGCGCCATCTGTCCCATGTAGCTCATGGCTTGTGACCTCGACGGAGCCGTCGCTGAATCTAACCTGCTTCTGTGGTTGAAAACTCTGCAGCATTCACGTCTTGCGTCTCAACACGCTCATTCTTGATCACCGGCTTCTTGACTGTGCTTGCATCGAAACCAGCAAACAAGGGTAGCGCATAATGCCCTCTCTCAGTCTCTTTAAGTTTAATCTTTACCCCATACTTACCAACCTCTAAAACGTCATTCCCCATATCTAATTTAACTTGCAAACCTCTTAACAACTCCTTGGAGAGAAGAAGTGGCGTCTCAGAACCTGAGCCTGGCAACACAGCCGCCCTTATCGCAAGCTGCTTGCCCCCAAAACACACTGGAATCAGAGCTGACTTGGTAGATTCCAAGGTACCCGCGTTACCAAACTTGAACTCATGACTCTCATCAACAAACCGAACCCTCAGCCCTGACTTCTCAAGTGTTCTACTCATCCTACGAAGCACAGATTGTCCTACCAAGGTACGACGACAAGCTGTGTCCGGAACCCCATGCTCAACTCAGCCATGTATGCCTCACCGATACCGGCACTGTCGCCCTCCATAAACTGTGTCAAACTCTGCTCAAAGTCCCCCCTCACTTCATCATCTTGGCCGATCGCTTCATCCTTGCTGGCCAAAACGACATCGATGTCACCGCTGCCGCGCTCTGCCGAGAAGATCTCAAACTTCTCGATCTCGTCGACGTCCAAAAAGTGTTCTTCGGCCACATCCTTGTAGCCGTTGCCACTGCCGAAGTCATCAGCAACCATCGCATCGTTCGAGCCACTCGGCCGCGTCTGCCGCCCACTACCAGCCATCTGTGACTGCTTGGGGCATTCGCGTTTCCAGTGGCCCACCTCCTTGCACAAGTGGCACTTGGTTTTGCTTTTCAACATGTCAAGCTTGCCCTTCAACGTCCCAGTCAGCTTCCAATCACCTCCTTGATGCCCTTTGTAGCCTCGCCCCAATTTCTTCTGCTGAACTCTGCGCCTGATATCCTTGTAGGTCTCAAACACATCCAGCGCATCTTCATCATCATATTCTTCAGCTTGTTGAAACTGACCAGCGATCGCCTCATAGACATCGGCTGCGGACTCTTCCATGTCATATTCCAGCTCGTCGCCCTCTGCAGTGAAGACCTCCTTCGTCTTTCCCACAGCATTTGACGCGACACCGTGGAAATATCGACTGGATGGCAGAGTTGATCTCGCTGTACTTCAGGGATCCTTTCGTCGAAGTAAGCAGCATCGCCTGGGATGCCTGATCAAGCTTGATCTTTTGCAGCAAAAACCATCCACGCACCTCTTCAGGAAGCTCTACGGAGTGTTCTTGTAGACGCCGATACGACGTATCCAGCCTGATTGTCAAGTTCCTGTAGGACTCACCTGGCCGAATCTTCACGTCGTAGAAGTACTCCTGCAAGTGGTTATGCAGCGCTTCTTTGTCTGACTCCTTATACCTTCCATCCAACGCTCCAAAGATCAACTTGTGCCCATCCTCTTTGGTGATTTTCTCCAGAGGAAGTCCTTCACAGACCTCTTCTGCTTCTCCAGAGACGTACTCCGAGAGCGTGGCACCCCAACGATCCTTCGTGTAGGTGGTTGGCAAGGCCAAAAAAATAAGCTCTGCCTTCCGCCGCCACTTCCGGTAACTGCTTGGTTGGCTGCCGTCGAACCGTTCTAGCTTCGGCCGCTCCTCGTCTTTCCCCGGACCACTCATCTCACAGGCTTGATAGCTTTGCGGATGTCGTGCGCTTCTTCAGCCGCCAGGTTGCACCCGCAGCTGAGCCAGCGCTCCGCTACCACCTGCGATCACCGAGATCCCAGGCAGCTCGCGGACTCTCCTTTTTCCATCAGTCTGCACGACGGAGTCACGGGTGACTTAGGGGACCTTTGGCCGCAATGTGACACAACATCGTTCAAGCATGTGATTTCTTTAAACTACTCGGGAAAGTGCTCGCAACTATTGGCAAGACCTTTGGTCGATTTCGCAACGATATGCAACGATGACAAAAGTGATGATGTTGATGATGGTGATGAAGATGATGATGATGATGATGATGACGATGATGATGACGATGATGATGACCTCGATGACGAGACGATGACGATGACGGCGATAACGATGACGATGATGATCATGGTAATGATGATGTTGATGAAGATGACGACGCTGTCGATGCCGACGACCATGACGATGACGACGATGATGATGATGATGACTCCTTCGGTTGCTCAGATGTTGAGTTGGAGCGTCCGTCAACTTTCTATCTGAACCTGCCCCAGTTTGAATATCTGAAAGCTTCGGAGTCTCTTCAAAGTTTTCAGACTTCGGGTCTTGAATCTCAAACCGGGGTTCGGCGGCCGTGTTGTGTTAGGGTAGTTGAACTGGCTCAAAGCGAAGTTGGATATGTGAAGCCTGCGAAGATCTCGGGGCTGACATGAAATCAAGAGTCAAACTTCAACGACATCGCTGAAATAGTATGCTTTTTTCCTTAAGAAGTCAATCAAAATGCCAGTGCTGATACGTGAGTGACCAGCAACATCCGGTCTGCAGTAGTGACAATCAAATTGATCGTGGCCTCCCCTTGCTGCTGTTTTGCACTGGCATTCAGAATAGAGCAAAATCATAACATTCGATTTGATGACGAGGAACCTGGACCAGTAGAGCAAGGGCGTGGCAAAACTAAAACTGTCCACGAGCTCTCCAGTCCAGACACTGAAAAGCTTCTCGGTTATCTCAATCTTCGAGCCTTGAGCCTTAGGCTGAGGCTTGGAGTCTTGGTTCTTAAAACAGTAACACCTAACCTTGTTCAAAGAGACATTGTACTATGAGATGTTTGCGAAGATCTCGAGGCTGACATTGCAAGCAAGGGCACTGACTGTGACACTGCAGTTGAAACAGAAACAATGTACTCTGTCTTGAAGGAATGATCAGAACCATTAAACTTGCTAAACCTTTGCACTTGTCAACAAACGGACCGGCTATTGATGAATGAGCGACAAACTCAAAAACTTCGGAATCTCTGCAATCACAAGCCATTTGAAAAGGACCGCCTGGTGCAAGGGGTCACTCAACGACTCGCTTCGCGACAACTCAAGCAAACGGTTCGTGAAACTCCGAAGGAATTACGGACCTGGATGGTACTGAACCCTCACTGAGCTAGTGAAACACAAGCATAACGCAATATGAAATATTTCCTGCGGGCTTTCCAATCAAGAGACTGGAAAGAAAAAGCATGTTTTCGCACTAACTGAGCGAAACCCACTCTCTTGCTGTTATCGCACGAAGTGCAACTAGCAAAATCAGACAAGATATTAGACAAGTGAAAGCCGCGTACCAGTCCTTGGGAAGCTGCAGCCTTGAATGCCCTTGTACCGTTGTACACTGTGTCCATTGCTAGCACGTTAGCGCCTCTACAATCTTTTGCTTCGGCGCCTTGAGAAGCTAGTCTTTGTAGGTCAGAAGCGACTCTAACTTGTGGAGCATCTGGGGTCTGTGGGTGTTCCAAACGTTTTTGGATGTTTGGACCTCGGACCGAGGTTCAGGGGTGCACGAGTGCATCGCCCATCACGACTGGCCATGTGACAGAATTACCGGCCGGAGACACACCTAAGTCACAAGATCACTCCTCTGATCAGACTCTTCTCTGATCTCAACGTATTCAATACTCTGCTTCGAAAGGGGTGGCCAGCCCCTCTCCTGTTTTCGCATGGGCATTCAGGATCGAGCATGAGCCGCAAAGCTCAGCAAAAAAATCATAAAAAATCTTCCTTGAAAAAAGAGGATTTGCACAGACGCACACACACACAGCGAAAAGAATGTCAACTAAAGCTTCCGGTCTTTATGGCTAGGCCCCGCCGTGAATCTGCATAATCCTCTCGGCCTCTCTGCATCTCTGCGAGGCCTTGAGCAGAAGTCGCGGGGGGACCGGTCAACGAGCACACGCGCGGCAGACTGACCTGAAGCAGAGAGGGAAGCTCTTGGAGTCGTCTGGACGCCGCGCAGGAACATTAGTCTTGGAGGACGTCTGCCAAACAAAAGATCAAGGCAATCCGATACTGGGCCAGCAAACAAGCGAACGATTCATTCCTCACCTCGCATGTTGTGCTGGTGCTTGTCTAGGCCCGTCACCGCAAAACTTGGGGTGGTCGCAGTTGCTGATGCTGTCACATGCTGTGTTCATGCGTGACTCCAGCTGAACACTAGCCTAAGCACAGCAGCTCAAGATGAGAAACCAGCACACGAATTCCTTCTCGGCATCACAAGCAGCAGCGGGGGAAGCCCCCTAATCAGAGCTCCACTGCTCATCTACAGCGACAGTGGAAGAAGAGCAACACAAGAGGAAAGCCATACAACATGAAACTCGCAGCCTGTCTCCGAAGCCCCCAGTCTGGGCATCCCACGCGCACCTTGATGTCACTTGGGCATCTGGGTCCTCGTCGAGCTGCTTATGACGGTTTGGTCGCTGTTGCTTGGCTTTGCTTCAGCAAGTGCGATTTCCGGTCTGGTTCCAGGCTTTGGGCGTGGGTCCGGACATGCTACATGGGAGTACTCTCGGTCCTGTGCAAGCTTCGCTGCAGAGCATTGCACAGATTGCCGCACCTGTCCGTCATGATGGAGTTTCAGAAAAGAGGAGCCCCTAGAAGCAGTAGTAGAATCCTACACAAAAAAACACTGGATGCAGCGTCGAATCGGCACAATCAAACCAAAGGAACCAAGTAACAACAGGAGGCTGCAGTTTCAGTAGGCTTCGATGGCAATTGAGTGATGTGGTTTGTGTTCATGGCCACATCCATACGTGAGATGAAAGTGTCAAGAGAGCACAACTTCGCAAGGCCTCCAAGCCCAGCATGACCCGCCGTTGCCCGAACAGCGAAAGAAGGGCAGCAGCAGTGGCTCCTTGCAGCATGGCTTAGCGCATGATATTCGAGGATCGCTCCACCAAGTGAACTGTCTCAGCGTCTGGCGCGGGTGGACCCGAGGCCCGTGCCTCCTGGGCAGCGTCCCTTCCACCAAGTGGGAGCCGGCTCCCCTTCAGCTCATTCGCCTCTCCTGGCCTTGGATGGAGGCCGAGTTCCCGCTTCAGGCGGTTAAAGGCGCTGCAAACAAAACAGGGCCTCTTGCGCAGTGAATCCTGAAGCTACCCTCGTTCCCGACAAAGGGAGCACAGAAAGCTTGAAGCCGTGACTGCCTGGGCCTCGTGCTTGGCAACTCGGCGGCATTCGTCCGATCCGTGGGCAACCGCAGGAAGGCCTACTGGATTTGGCGGTTCGCTTCCGGCGTCGTACGCGAGGAGAGTCAGGAAAGCTGGGAACTAGCTGTCGGCTCGAAGCGCTTCGCTCGACACCCCCAAGACAGGGAAGGCAAGCCGTGACCGGGCTCGGAACCTCAAGCTCGCGGAATCATCGTGAAAGAATTGGTAAGACCTGCAACAAAACAACTGACCGCTGTCAGCTTGGAGATGCCACCATTAGCACTTTCCACAAAGAGGAAGACCAACTCACTCGGATGTCCCGCCAAAGGCTCACACCCGACAAAGCTGCCTGACACAGCCGAAGCCTTCTTCAGGTCCGGCAATCGAACCTCGCTGTTCAGTTGATAATCGGCCGCTTGGTTGGTCACATCAAGAGCTTTAGCTCCAGGTTTGAGACACACTGCCCGAGCACCTAGTGACTCGGGGGCTTGAGGGTCCAGAGACATTGTAGGTTTGCAGACTAACGCTCCCTTCATCGGAACGAAGTCCATAAACTTCATGCTGGCAGAATCGAATTGCAAGATGCCTTCCAACAGACAGATGTTTAATGCACGCTGCAAAACAGCACTCTACGCCGTGACACAACTTCATCTGGATTGGGCGTGGTTGTAGCGCACAGCGCCGTTCTCAGAAACTGTACAACTGTGCTATGGTACGCCAGCATAGGACGGGCAGAAGTGCAGGAATCGAGATCTTGCCTGCAAGCTCGTGAAGAACATGAGCTTGAAGCTGACTGATGTGCAGCATCAGAACGTTGGCGGATCGAACCATACTTCATGGGACGAAACTCCATGAATTTGATGACAATTTCCGTTTGGCTTTTCAATACCACAATCCGAGCATCCAGAACCTGTTTAGGTTTTGGTCCATCGACAAGATTTCCGGAACAACGTGGAATGTCGTGTCGAGCCAAGCCTGGAGGGCTCAAACGCCTGAGATCTTGCTGGCTTTTCTCTTGAGACGCTCTCGCCACTTGCTTCCTGTTTAGCCGTTCAAATGTCGAGAATTCGGGAGTGCGGGGCTTGAAGTTCACATGGCCCGGAGCCCAGCACGGACAAAACTGCAAAAATCAACTGCACAAACATCTCCAAGGCGAAGCCCAAGCTCGGCACCACTGGATTTCGTGAGAGGGCTTCCTCAGGCCAGAAACATGAAAGACAGGCTAGCAACACCCACTAGGCCTGACTCGCTAAATGGGCCTAGACCGTATCATTCCAAGGCATCCCGAAGCCGAAACTCGAAGCACCCTTGAAAGACACACGGCATAGAGGGACCCTATACAGAATCGTTTGACACTTTCACATGCCCAAACTGAACGGAACAACCTTGACGCTGTCCCTCCAGGTCCTTGATTCATCCACGCATTTCATCCAGCCGTCGAGGCCGATCGACACATCAAACAGTCACATCAAGCCAGCCATTACAACTTCATGAATCCATTAAACCGTCAAACCATGCAGAT